GAACCTGCCAAGATGTTCATATATAACTCATAAATGAGACACGATGTTGTGCAAATACGCAACTTCATTATTATCAGAGATTATAGCTTTAGTTGAGCATATTGTTTACAGATTAGAAAGACAGTGTATTGCATTATTTTGATGTTAATTTGCTATTATTGCATGTTTATTTACAGACATAGACGAGAAAATTATAAAACGCAAGAGGGCGGGCTCCAGCCTTAGTCGTTCAGGATCAGACAGCGCGTCAATAAGAAAACGCAAACGAACTTCGTCCTTCAATTCCAACGCTTCTGATAAAAGCGATGATTCAGACGAGGTACGTATTTATAGGTTATTAATATATATCTATTATGGAATACAATTTATTACATTGCTAGATAATATGAATATTCATGTATGAAGTACATTTATCTTTCTCCCTCTGATGTCACTATTTATTATTTGTCAATCAATGGCTAAATCGTAAATTAATCAATCAATCATTCAATCAATATAACTCGTCGAAATCCATAACATCTGGAAATATATTTAAATTAAATATATAGGTTTCGAAATAAAGAAAATAATTCAGTACAATTTGAAAAACTGAGAAACATATTGTTCCAATTGCAAGTATTCATTTGATCCGCCAAGTGTTTGCAAGAAACAAATACGTTCGACTTATAGTACCGTGAACTCCTGGTCATGTGACCTACGCCATGCACGAGTTTTGAACGAGCCAGCAGCGTAACTGACGTAATGAAAAAAACATGAGAACTTGAATCGCGCAAAATGTTTATCGCAATGCACAAATCAATCGGCCGCATTTGAGAGTCAGTTTACGATTTTCGTGAATCAAAAAATCACTAACGAATATACTTACAAGCAGCCCGAATATATAACTAGTGCAACGTTCCTACCTTTTTCGACAATTGTTTAAATTTCAGGAAGAAGTAGACATCCCGGACGTGAGCATGAAACGGATTTTGAAAATGAACGCTCCAGAGTGGCCTTATATATTATGTGGCACGCTTGCAGCTGCCGTCAACGGTGCTTGCCAGCCCGTATTTGCTGTTATTTTTAGTAAAATCGTAGCAGTAAGTATTATGACATTGGTGTTTTACATGATGGGGTATGCCAACTGTTCTACAAGTCATTGTTTGTTTGAAGCGTGAAGTTGGATGTGCACGTGCACCTCCCACATTAGCGTCCATACCAATGAACTTAAATATAAAAAGATTGTGCAATACAGTCCTTACAATTTCTGTCAGAATTGTAAGGAAATTCAGTATAGTAAGAATGAATTTCACCGAAAGCAAATTTATTCATTTGCTAATAAAAAAAATCCCAGTGTTATTCTCGTCTCAACTGCCAAGTACTTCAGAGAAAACAATGAGGACAGTATGTGTACCATTTAAAACACCAAAACAACAACAAAATTTGTTATTCAACTAAACTATTTGATGACATATACTTCCACACTTTGTAAACTCTAGTGGCCACAAATGCATGAGAAAATTAATATTTTCGTCTAAATATTCATTGCAGCGATTTAATTGCCTCTTTCAGAAAATAAAAGCAAATCATTTCAGATAATATAAGCTTTCTGGGAATGTTTAATTATTAGTGTATATACAGCAATACCGTATTCACATTGGTTGAATAATAAATTGATTTAAATACAATTTCATTTTTATTATATCTGAAATGCATAAATTAATACTACTGACTGCACTAGATTTTTTCTTTTGCGTTTAATAGGTCTTCGCACTGCCCGATGACGAGATATTGGACGCGGCTGCACCATACTGTGTTGCATTTGTAATCATTGGTGTAATCCAAGGCCTAGGATACCTCATTCAGGTAGGAAAATACATATGCTTCCCTGAATATACTAAATGGAAGACCGTCACCTATCTGATTACAGTCTGATGTATGTAGGGAACTATGGTCGCTTTTCATATTCTGTAACTGGTTTATGTACTTACTTACTGCCCATAAAGCCTAGCGGCATGTATGACAGGAACGAAGGATCTCCACTCCTGCCTGTTTTGGGCTGTTTTCTGGACACCTCCCCAGGTCAAGTTCATCGCTTTCATTTCTTTTTCTACCGTCCGGCGCCAGGTAGTCTTGGGTCGTCCTCTCTTTCTTTTTCCATCTGATGTCCAGTGTCGGGCTACTTTTGGAATGTGGTTTGGTTCTTTCCTCGTCACGTGCCCAATCCAGTCCCAGCACCGTCTTTCTTGCTGACATCTATTTAGTAGGTCTTGGTTAGATATTATGCTGGGCCAAAAAATCCTACCTTCGGTGTACATGTCTCTAACTACATCTGACATATGCAGGTCTCACAGGATCAGCAACCAATCAGAGACTACGTTACAGACCGCTTACTAGAAGGACATAACCTGTTTATTAAAGCCTGTTCTAATTGGTTGACGAATTCGATCATTTCAAAGGAGTTAGTCAGATGTATCAAGAGGCGTGTACAGCCTTGAACCAGTGAGTGTAGATTCGAGTGTGTAACGTCAATTCAAAAGCAAACATGTAAAGTGTTATGTATTGTTCCTTTTTTCAATAGAATACAATGTTTGGCAAATCTGGCGAAGAATTGACGATGCGCCTGAGATACTTGACGTTTACCACCATGTTACACCAGGTAAATCTACGTGACTCATTCAAATAACTACGTGTGCGTGACATCGTGGTGTTATTCTTTTCATATCTGTGCGGAAATCAGTGACACGTCACCCAATCCGTCGTATCCAAATTCGCAGATAATAACGTTTACGATAATATTATCTAAACACATATTTGAGTGCATCGCAAACAAACTTCAAATATAACTACAAGTTGGTGATGTTATATCATAATATCATGCGAACCAACAACCCATTACTAAATTCCATTGTTCACTAGCAGAATTGTGTTTTCCTCCCAGGAAATTGGTTGGTTTGATCGACATACAAACAGCACAGGGGCACTTACGACCAAACTTGCATCTGAAGCATCTTTAGTACAAGGGGTAAGTAAATGCTATCGCGGGGTTACCATTGACGAAGTACGTCTGTGACATAACGGGCA